TGAGTCTCCGTCTGTGGCCCGTGAGTCTGTCTCTGGCCCGTGAGTCTGTCTCTGGCCTGTGAGTCTCCATCTGTGGCCTGTGAGTCTCTGTCCTTGCCTGAGATTTCCCTCTTGTGGGACCTTCGTCTGTGATGCTCAGTCTCCTCGCGTTCGGCACCTGCGTGTGGGGCGTGAGTGAGCCTCTCCAGTCCCACCCTGCGTCCCCCACAGGTCTGAGCTGTGGGTTCCACCCCTTTCCCCTACATCCTGACGTTCGTTCGTCGTGGCGTCTCCTCTGAGCAGCACTCAGGGCTGCGATCGGCTCTGGGCTTCGCTCATCGTCCTGAGACTGTCGCGTTCCGTCTTCCCAGGGGGCGTGCGGCTGTGCTCTAACCTCTCCTTCCACCTCCACCAAGCTTCTCTGCCTGAGCTCGCCCAGGTTCCAGCAAGTGGGTGAAGGCCACGTGGCCAGTGGCCCTGGGCAGCCCAGGAGCCTTGAAAATGGGCACAGACACCTGCGCCCCTAGAGGGGGGAGATGAGATTAGGGTTTTGGAGAACTCTTTGAGGGCGCTTTGCAGTATAAAGGGGGGAAATGGGACTGGGGTTCTGGGAGGGCTGTTGGGTGTTCCTCTAAAATGAGAGCAGAGGCAGCAAGCACCCTGGGTGGGTGAGAGTGGCCAGGGAGGGGCAGGAGGAGGCAGGGCTGGTGCGGGCGCGGGCCCGGAGTAGACACAGTCGCAGAGTGGGGCCCCCCGGCCCTTCCCAGCCCACTGCTCAGCACCCAGTGGTGGGGTGGCCCTGTCCTTTTTTTTTTTTTTTGGTGAGACAGGGTCTCACTCTGCCGCCCAGGCTAGAGTGCAGTGGCGCAATCCTGGCTCACTGTAACCGCCGCCCGCCGGGTTCAAGCGATTCTCAGGCCTCAGCCTCCCGAGTAGCTGTGATTATAGGCACGAGCCGCCACACTGGCTAATTTTTGTACTTTTAGTAGAGATGGAACGTAACCACGTTGGCCAGGCTGGTCTCGAACTCCTGACCTCAAGCAATCCGCCCGTCTTGGCCTCCCAAGGTGCTGGGATTCCAGGCGTGAGCCACCGCACCCAGCCAGGGTGGTCCTGTCCTAGCAGCCCCTCAGGGGGCCTTCTGGTGCTGCTGAGCCCGTGGGACCTACCCTCCGCCAACCAAAGCCGGGAGTGGAACCAACAGCTCAGCTGCAGGGGATGCCGGAGCAGCAGGGAGGAGCGGGGATACCAGTGGGCAGGGGGCATTGAGGGGGGATACAGAAGGGCGTTGGGGTGGAGGGGGACTCATGAAATGAAGGCCGGTGATGGGCCTGGCCACCAGCACAGGGAGGGAGAGTGGCAGGGCTCAGAGGGAGGAGGGGCTGGCAGGGTGGGTGTGACGGCCTCCTCTTCCTCATGGGGACCCCGGGAGGGAGCAGGCAGGGCAAGGGGAGCCCAGTCTCGGAGCCATGGGTCCCAGCGTCCCTGATCGAGTCCATTAAGGCCACTGAGATAAGGGCAGGAGCCGGAGGGAGATGCTTGGGCCCAGACTGGCGTCTCCCACCACAAGGGGCTGGCCCTGGGGCCGGCAGGGGTGCGGTGTGCACTGGGTCCGTGTGTCACCACGCTGGCCAGCGAGGACACAAAAGGGGTACAGCTGCCACAAGGGGCCTGGAGGGGAGGACCGGGCTGGGGGCCTGGAGGGCCAGGATTTTGCAAAAGGGTTACCGGGCTGGTTTCAGGCGTGAGGGAAGGCGGGTGGGGTCAGAACAGCTGCCACTGAGCTCCAGAGGTGACAGAAACAAACCTGGGTGAGAGCACACCCAAAATCAGAGCAGCCACGGGGCGTCCACTTAAGTCAGAGCGGCCACCGGGCACCCACTTAAGTCAGAGCAGGCCACCAGGCGTCTGCCTAAGTCAGAGCGGCCACCGGGCACCCACTTAAGTCAGAGCGGCCACCGGGCACCCACTTAAGTCAGAGCAGGCCACCGGGCGTCCCCAAAATCAGAGCAGCCACCAGGCACCCACTTAAGTCGGAGCGGCCACTGGGCACCCACTTAAGTCAGAGCGGCCACCGGGCGTCCGCTTATTTCTTTTTTTTTGTCGCCCAGGCTGGAGTGCAGTGGCACAATCTCAGCTCGCTGTAACCTCCGCCTTCTGGGTTCAAGCGATTCTCCTGCCTCAGGCTCCTGGGTAGCTGGGATCACAGGCACGTGCCACCACGCCCGGCTAATTTATGTGTTTTTATTAGAGACGGGGCTTTGCCATGTTGGCCAGGCTGGTCTCCATTTCCTGACCTCAGGGGATCCGCCCGCCTCAGCCTCCCAAAGCGCTGGGATCACAGGCGTGAGCCACCATGCTCGGCCTAATTTAATTTTTTATTGGGGTAAGATGCACAAAATGTAACCCTAATTATTCTGAAACGAGCGAATCAGTGCCATCGAGTGCGTCCACCGTGTGGTGCTTTGTGAGTCTTTCCAGCATCTTCACAACGTGCACCTCTCCTGGTTTCAGAAAGTTTCGTTGCTTCAAACGAAAACCCCACGCCCCTCACAGAGTCACCCCATTCCCCTCAGCCCCAGACTCACCCACAAACCCCGCACGCCTCACAGAGTCGCCCCTTTCCCCTCAGCCCCAGACTCACCCACAAACCCCGCACCCCTCACAGAGTCACCCCATTCCCCTCAGCCCCAGACTCACCCACAAACCCTGCACCCCTCACACGGATGCCCCTTTCCCCTCAGCCCCAGACTCACCCACAAACCCCGCACCCCTCACAGAGTCACCCCATTCCCCTCAGCCCCAGGCTCGCCCACAAACCCCACACCCCTCACAGAGTCACCCCATTCCCCTCAGCCCCAGGCTCACCCACAAACCCCGCACCCCTCACACGGACGCCCCGTTCCCCTCAGCCCCAGACTCACCCACAAACCCCGCACCCCTCACACGGACGCCCCGTTCCCCTCAGCCTGGGCCCAGCCACCCTCATTCGCATTCTGCCTCTGGATTTGCCACTTCTGGACAGTTCACACACATGCGGTCGGTCACGTAACATGGGGTCTTTTGTGACTTGCTCTTCACTAAGCGCGACGTCAAGGCTTGTCCACGTGGAAGCCTGTGTCAGCTTCCTCCTTTTCCGTGGCTGCGTAATACGTCAGCAGAAGAAACTGTCTCAGGAAAACGGGGACAGTTGGTTACACGTTCCCAAATCCATGTCCGATTACCCCACGTTCTCAGAGCGTTAACCACTTACCTGGGGTTGTCACTCGTGGTGGCTTGCTTCCTTGTGTGTTTTGTAAGTTTTCATTGACCTCATTCAGTGAAACTTTTTCCCTCTGGTGACCTGGGGCCTGCAGGTCCTGGCAAAGTGGTTAAAGAATTATTGTTTTGTGTCTGCCAAATTCTCTAGAGCCAGAACTCAGCAGGGCTAGACCTCAGCAGGGTTAGAACTCACCTGGGTTAGAACTCACCAGAGTTAGACCTCAGCAGGGTTAGAACTCAGCAGGGTTAGAACTCAGCAGGGTTAGGACTCAGCAGGGTTAGGACTCAGCAGGGTTAGAACTCACCAGGGCCAGAACTCAGCAGGGTTAGAACTCACCTGGGTTAGAACTCACCAGGGCCAGAACTCAGCAGGGTTAGAACTCACCTGGGTTAGAACTCACCAGAGTTAGACCTCAGCAGGGTTAGGACTCAGCAGGGTTAGAACTCAGCAGGGTTAGGACTCAGCAGGGCCAGGACTCAGCAGGGCCAGGACTCAGCAGGGTTAGAACACACCAGGGTTAGAACTCAGCAGGGTTAGAACTCACCAGGGTTAGGACTCAGCAGGGCCAG